ATTTTTGAAACAAGTATTATCTCTATATTTAGTTTAAAACTTCAACCACTCAATCTAGGGTCCAAGATGGGGTAGAGGTAGGGCAGCCAACTTGGGACCAGAAAGTTGTAGGTTCAAGGCTCAGCCATACTCACATGCTGTGGTGTCTCTGAGAAAGACCCCCAATTGCTCCCCAGGCACCAACATAGCTGCCCACTGCTCCACCTGGGTGTATCCCAGGTGTGATGTTTTTTCCCATTCATTCAACTTTTATTTAGACAGATAAATCACAATGAGCCTCAGAGATTCATTTACAAGTGAGATCTGTTTAGACAGACAAAAAAAGTAGTGAAACTGAACACGTAGGAAATAGGAGGCAAAAAAAAATCCTATCAAACTTTTTCTTCTTGGTTGAGAAGAAATACCCTGATAATGAAAAAGCACCTGCTCAGACAAGCACATGGTGACGTAGAACATTCCGCAGAGGTGGGGGGACGACGAGAGCGGTGAGAGTATTCAAGGATGCTCCCGAGGCACTGTAAAGGCTCCAGTATACTCCCGTATCCTGTCAGCCACGCGGAAACTGTGGGCACTGTCCGCCGATGGCTCAGACTTCATACTCGAGCGTCCACCCTGAGCGGCTACAGACCAGCTCCACAGGCAAGGGGCGTTTACCTTAGGGAGAAATTGAGGTCACCGATTGGTCATTTGCTGACACGCCTACAGGTAAAAAAAAACAAACAAAAAAAACGAGAGCTGCCAGCTCCAGCTGCAGCAATTTTCTGTGTTTATATGTTGTTAATGAAAAGTTCTAAAAAAAAAAAAAAAAAAGAAAAACAGGGAGCACTGGCCCTGCAGCCCACACATCAGACCAGTCCACCAGGAAATCTCCAGACACTCCTGCAGCCACGCTGGACCTGATTTTAATGCGCTCGTGACAAATTCCTTCATTTCTCACCATTTCGGTCATGGCATCAATGGAGGAGGAAGAGATCACTTGCCTTTTGGCAAAAAAACAAAATAAAAGGCCAGATCAGGGATGAAGAAGAGGAATTTAATACATTGGTGTCACATACAAAACAGTCAGTCGCCGGGCAGTTTATTGTGCGACACCGAGTACACGTATGAGGTCATACAAATTGAGCTTTTCACGGACATGCCCTGCGGGTGTCTGCTTCGACTCTAATTTGGTACGTGCAGACCTCCGTGGACTGACGTACGCAGGAATATACTGGAGGCTTTAGAGTTCTGATAAGGATGGAATAATCAGCCAGTTCCCACCGATGAGATCCGTAAACATTCTTCAGGGATGTCGGGGAATGGCCAAGGACAACCCAGTGAGAATCCAAGAGTCCTGAATTGTTGACCAAAACATTTGGCCGTTTGGAATCGCCACTGAGATGAACCAGCAGAACTATGAAGGCAGACATGGAAATTCAAGCAGAGGCTGCCTGACCCAAAATAACTATCTGAATTTCGCTTCCCCACTCGGCCTTGAATTGGCCAACTATCTCAACTTCTCCTGGTTGTTTTTGTGAATGAGAAGCTCTGCTCCTCCCTCCTCTCCTATCGCTCCCCTCCCTAGGACATCTGTGGATCTATGTCAAAGTTAAGCCAGCTGATAGACACTGTGCCATCTTTATCAGGACTATGGAACGTTCTGGCAGTGTCCTCAGAGAACTCACTGCCCTCGGCGGCCTCCTCATGCATAAATGTATTATAATGTCATCAGTATGTTGCTGAGGTCTTTTTTTTTTCAACTTTCACACCGTGTCCCGGCTAGTACATAGTGCGAGATTTGATTTTTTTTTAACACCTCCACTCCCCTTCGTGTTTTTTTTCCTTATCTGAAAAAAGGCTGTGCCTCTTGAGGCCAGCAGCCTTAGTCACCTCCGTCTAACCATGTTTGCTTGTTTATGTTTCTCTCGGACGGGCTATACTCTGCGCTTTGGTGTAATGACAATAAAGCTTATCTGATTCTGAAAAGTTCCTGAAATGTTGAACACAGTGGCTGAAGAAATCACAGACTTGCACAAAAACCAGCAGTTTCTGAACATATTTTATAATGAGCCTTTTTTAGGTTCAAAGGATAAAATTCTGCAATAAAAGGACGCTGGAAATCATGCAAATCTTACAAGTGCCTGCTTATGACTTATCTTGACTTGTGAAATCAAATTCCAATTCTGTTTACATTCCTGAGCCTGAAGATAGCTAACATACTGTATTATTATTATTATTATTATTATTATTGTCTTCTACTTCTGTTGATTTTTATGACAAAACTAGTTGTCCTACTAAATCTGTTATAATTTCTTACTGTAAAGCTCGTTCATGCTCATGTGCGTAAAACAGAAAAAAGCTGTTTAAGAGCACAAATCAAAAAAATTAAATTTTGTGGTTCTTAAATACACACGACCAGGATATTAGGTCAACTGACAGATTACATTAAATTAAACAATATGTAAATATGTGACTGGTACAAAATACTTTTAACGCTGTATTTCAGTCGGCTAACAAAATAAAAGGTATTTTCACTATAAATATTAGGTCATGCATGCATGTTTTGTTAAATATAATTAAAAACACTAAGTTTGCAAAATTCAATAAAGAAATATAAAAAAGTCAGTGTGCACCATCAGGGCTGAGGTCAGGTTAATTCATCAGAGGGAACTTCTGTAGTAGCTGCTACTTTATTGCACTCTGGGAATTCACTGTTTTCATAAAACCTCTAAAAGCCGGAGCACCGATTTATCTAGTGTCAGATTCTCTTAAAGAATTGCCCGACATTACAGTAAAATGTTGCTACAGGGGTCCTTTCTCCTTTGCCTTAAGTGTGCAGTGATGTTTTTAAATCTCAGAGGAATCAGAGCTTTATCGTGTTTGTTGTTCTAAAGGGTTTACTGCTGAGAACATGTCAAGCTACTAAATTCTCAAGGTGACTCTGCAGCGTGTCAGATCCAACATGACCGATCTGTTTCCCACAGGGCATCCCATCGCCACACAGGACAGCGAGAGAAACATGAGCACTCAGCTTCTGAGAGACACAACCTTGTTCCCACCAGTCTGACATAATGTTATTTCAGTCACTATTAAACCAGAGCCGTAACCCCGGAGCTTTAAATAGTTCATGGCACTCAGAGTTCGGTGCCCCCCCAATTTTGGTCATAAAACATTTCGTTATCTTTATGAAGAATAAAAAGGACAACATGGGACTCTTGTTGAGACGGCTCGCTGCAAAAATGATTAATTCTATTTTGGTTCACACATGGATGTAATTTCAGTTTATTAGGCAGATAAACTTCAAGTTCTTTTGTTTCTTTACGACAGGATGGAGGAGCGTACTCTGAAAGGTTTTACCTCATCAGCAGCTAGATGCTTTTTATAAAACGCTCCTTTAACCCTGACATGACTCAATCAGGACAATAAAATAAACTTTGAACACAGACCACTTCACGTCTCCTCAAAATAAATCCTTGTGTCTCGGAGTATATCAGTAATGTGGGAGTTCTGGGTTTGCCAGTCACTCACTTTTTCCACAAATGCAGTCAGTTCCAATCAGACACCCCTCCACACTTGCTCCTGATTTGATGACTGGGGTCCTCTCCCAGAAATTTTTGAATAAATTAGATGCCATTTCCTGCATTATGGCATATTTTGACAGGTTGTTAAACATCTATGTTTATCTATATAAGTAACCACTTGATTCAATAACTATTTAGGGAGCTCGCCACAACAAGAAGTAGCGCTAAGCTAGCAGTGTGTAATACAGACGTGCTAGCTAAAATACTAGCATAGTGCTATACTTTATTACACATGAGGTTGGCTGCTTTATCCATCTTTTACATTTGTTCAGACTCAGTTTAGGTTTTGGAAATTGAATAAACTGTATTCCACCCTCTAAGGCAGGGATATTCAACTGAACTGCTTCGGGGGCCACAGTTACTGAAAGCTAGCAGCTCAGGGGCCGGACATCCAGCAATTAAAGCCGTTATGTAAATAAACCAAGTATTACAATGAACTAATACCTTTTACATTTGTTTAATTTGTTGCATTGAATCATAAATGCAATAAACAGACTCCCCCCCCACAAAAAAATAAAAATATATATATATATTTTTCATGGGTGCCGAGTTAAAATTTAAGGGTGCTTGAGCACCCCTAAAAAGAGGCTAAAATCGCCACGGGCAACAACAGATATTTATAATTAGACACAGGGATGTAATGTATGTTTATTATCAGGTCTGCATCATAGTAAACACTTTCTTAGCTCATTAGGGACAGTTGAGCGATGAAAGCGGATGAAACTGATCCAGAAAGGCACACTGTTTGGCCCACTATAGTTTTGCACATCCCTAATGAAAATACTCGATCGTGCGCAGCTCAGAATAGACGGATACCATGTTAGGGATGCAGCTGCCTGGAAAAAGACAAAGAGGAGACATATGGATGCAGTTAGAGGACATGGAGCGTCTTGTTGAGAACAGAGTAAGATTGAGGAGGATGAGTAGCTGTGGAAACCCCTAAAGAGGGAACAGCTGAAAGAAGAGGGCCACGCATGTTCAGTAATTTTATAATTTCATCCTGTAAACAGTCACCACAGTCAGGAGGCTCAACCTGCAACGATCTGTGATAAAATGAGACCATCTGTAATGAATGCAACTCATTTTGCTGTCAGATGTCCTATTAACATCCTGCTGATAACATATTAATCATATGGTGACAAACAAACAGCCAGCTGCTCTGTTTCTGATAATAAATTGTTTTATTCTCTTTATTTAATCATTTGTTTAATATTTTTGTCTATTGGGAAATATTATTGCGTCATTTTTTCTTTAAACCTGCCTACCTGGGCATTTTTTCAGAGCTGATATCGATGATGTGATTGACAGCTCTTCTCTTCTGGCCTCCTGACGTGTTATTAGTGGAAGCGTGGCACTTCTGTCACCGACCTGTGGGAATGACGAGTGGAAGCTGTCGTTGTTCAGGAACCTCTGGAACACCCATCAGGGTCTTTTGATCGGGACGCTCCCCCGAGAGAGGACACATTTACGCCTGATTTGAGATTTTAAACAGAGAAGAAGACATCAAAGTAATATATTAATAGAAGATCCCCACAGGTGTGCAAAGGAACATATTTGATGTGGACGATCAGGTGAGTCTGTGTTTTTCTTTATATGACAATGTCTGCGTAATATTATTGCTCATATTATTCCTGTAGCTTTTGATACAATATTTTTACAGGTCTGCCTGAAATATTTTATGTTTTCTGATGTAAATGCATCAACGTGAGTGAGATTTAATAAAAGTGAATGTCTCTAACGTCTTCTTCATCTTCGTCTCATCTTTGGTGAAGATGGCTCATGTGAAGCAGTTTCAAAGTATTCTCATGTCAAAGGTGCGTTACAAAAAATTATTTACGCTTCTTTCTGCTGGGATATCAAATTATACTGAAAACAGGTTTTTATTTTTGATAATGCAAATTAATGTCATTTTTATATGTGTGTTTTTACTACACAATAGTTCTGCAGGAACCACTTATTCAAAATTTGAACGTGTAATTCTGCGGCTTCTGTTTAAAGATTAAAAACAATGAATATCTTACCTGTTGTGCAAAGCTCTTTGAGGACCTCATTCTAGTCCGATTCAGACCAGACTGATGAGCTTAAACTTTGGTCTAGACCCATGTTTTCATCTTCATGTATCCAATGTAAAACATTTTGGAGCAGATCATGCAAATTAAATTACATCAAACTTTACATCACCTTTAGTTGTATTATACACAATTATTCTAGCAGAAATGTGATCATGTTCATGCAGGATGTGCTCCAGGCTGCACTAGAAGTGCTACAGCTAGCTGCTGCTGCCATTTTGATAACCCCATAATTTAATATAAATAACAATGGAATGTAAAACTGATTGAGGTGAAAAGATCAAAACGATAAAAGATTTAAAAAAAAAGATAAAATTGTTTTTGCATGAGCCGCTATAAATTAATCCCAGACCGTTTTGAGAATGAAAGCGATCCACTTGAATTTTGACCTCTTTTAGGACTAGCTGTAAACTCGTCAATACTGTATGAACTTATTTATTTATTTGTTTATTTAAAAAAAACATACACATTAATCTGTAGGGAAGTGGTAGCACAGAGGTTACAGAGGGTGGGCCTGTGATAGAAAGGTCACCAGTTCGACTTCCAGGACCGACAACGTCAAGATGTGGGTTAGAAAGGTGAAACACCCACACCTGCCTCCACCCTCATTTGCCCTGGGCCCTTGAGCAAGGCCCTTAACCCCCACCATCTGCTCCCCCAGACACCCTAGATGTCAGCTCCCTGCTCCACACAGAGGGCTGTGGTAGCTCAACGGTCTGTGGTTGCTTCAGGAAGAACATCTGGTGTAAAAACAATCACCAAGTCCTCATGCGACTTATTTTTTTTGTTTGCTGTGGTGACCCCTGAAGAAGAGAGCAGCCGAAAGAAGAAGAAAAAAAACAACACATTAATCAATATTTTAGTAACATAAATGTGATAGAATTAGCACAATATCTAAATTTCATCTGTTGTCCTGAGCAAGTAAAATAATAAAAACAGTTCATATTACTTTGTACATACAATACATACTACAACAAAACTCATTTCTCTAGAACCCGTTTCTCAAACGGAGGTTGTTCAGAGAGCTGTCTACACCAAGTAGGATAATGATTGTTCATATTTCCTCCATATTGTCCCTTTTCAAAATGTCTAAACTTTTGCTTTAATGTGCATAAAATATGCAAAACTTATTAGAAATGAAATAATATTTTATTGATATCTGTATCCATAATTTAGTTTAGTTTAGTATTTTTGGAATATGTAAAAAAAAAAAAAGGCATGAAGCATAATGTCAAAACATTTTGTTTTACATATTCAAGGGAGTGGGTAGAAGTATAAACTTATCAAAATTCCCACTCAACCACTTACGTATTCTTACATTTATTACATGTATAATCCATACATATAACAACTAAACCCATATTTAACCCATCAATATAGTACTGGTATCTATTTAAGTTAACTACATTAGATAAACAATTATTATTTCATTAACTTCACCAAAAAACAAAACTAGCACCAATAACAAAAACACCAACAATAATTGAATAATAATATTATATATTATATCCAGCAATAATCATATGTTTATATGATAATTTGAACAGTTTTATGTTTGGACATGGTCTAAGTTCAGTTTTCAAATTATTCCACAATTTGACTCCATTTACTGATGCACAAAAGTTTTTTCTATTAGTTCTGAATTTGCATATTTTAAACTGTTATTCCCCCCTTAACTTGTAAATTTGCTCCATAGTCTTAAACAGGTTTTGAACGTTTTCTTTAATAACTTAGAATTTACAAAAAGTGCATTAGTGTGTTCTAAATATCCCACCTTATGGATTATTCTTATTGCTCTTTTTTGTAATATTGTTAAAGCCTGTAGTGTAGTTTTGTAATTATTGCCCCAGATTTCTGCGCAATAACAAATAAGGTTAGATTAGTGAACAGTAGAGTACATGTGATGCTTTTTGTTCTATGACCGACTTGGCTTTGTTTAAGAGGGCGATATTTCTTGAGACTTTACTATTTGTATTTGAATTTCTGTATGTGATTGACAGTTCCCAAATAACATTATTTTTAGTTTGTTTAGGTTCAAGGACAGCTTATTTTCATCAAAACACATTTTAAGTTTGTTCAATTCATCAATTACATCCTTTAACAGTTGTTCCATGTCACCTCCAACACAAAAAATGTTTGTATCATCAGCAAATAGTATACTTTTCAATATCTTAGGTGCAATCAATCAACCTTTATTTTAGACAGGTAAATCCCATACATAGATCATTTACATATATTATGAGCAGTTTGGTACCCAGGACTGACCCCTGAGGAACTCCATAAACAATGTCCAAACATCGAGAACAAACATCTCCCAACTTCACATACTGCTGTCTGCCTTTCAAATAGCTTTTGAACCCAGTCTAGTGCTACTCCCCTTATCCCATAACGTCCAAGTTTCTTTATTAATAAATCGTGATTGTGTCAAATGCCTTCTTGATGTCCAAAAACACTCCAACAGCAATTTTCTTATTATCCGTCGCAGTAGTTATCTCCTCTACAGTTTCTAAAATGGCTTGCACTGTTGATCTTCCTGATCTGGAGCCGTACTGACTTTCACAGATTCATTTATGTTTATCTAAGAATGTTTCCAGTCTGTTATTATATAATCCTTGGCTTTAAGTAATCTGTCACAGCTGGTCTTAATGGTGTAATGATCTTCTTTGGAACTGGAACAAACTAACTGTAAAGTCACATGGAGGAAACCACAGAGATTCACCGGCATTGGTGCTTTAGTGACGAGCCAAGACTTTCGCCAATACGATATCAGTGATGATAATAATAATACAACGTTTATATGAACTGCTTCTCTGGTTCCAGTCTATGAGGGGGTTGTGTAAAGAGGAAGACTATGCATTTCTGGGGATCCCAAAGAGTTCAATCAAAGGCTACATCGAAGGACAGACAACTCTAGAAGACGACTGGCGAGACAACAAGGAGGCGAGGGTAAGACGAGCCCCCGAGCATGACAGCATCCAATTAAAAAAACATGTTTTTCATGCATGGGTGTGTGTTTGTGCGCATTAGGTCCGCCGAAGATTGGAACGGGAGAAGCGGGAACAAGAAAGACTCAAAGCCGTAGAAGAGAGCAAGAAGGTGCAGCAAACGCACAACGATGATACACACACTCTGCAAGTCTGAACATCTGTAAAACCGGAACAGCTGCTTCACTTTCAGCCTCCTGGCACCGCATGAAAGATGAAATCCTAATGACACCAGCTCAGTCTCAACAGCTTGTTTGGTTTGTGTTTTTCCTGCTTGCCAACACGCACAAAGGTTTAGCGAGGGAGCCAAGCAGTAGCTGAAGCTGATCAGTGATCATCAGGCCTGTCAGCGCTGATAATAACAGGTCAGGCTCCAAAAACGACATCTGAGTTTTGGATTGCAGCCCTGCAGCTTGGCATGCTTTCATCACAAGGTTTTAGTGCGCTGCTTTCTTATTTTATTGGGAAATTTATCAACATTTATGTAAAAAAAAATTAAGTCTAAAACGGAAGCATAATTAATCATTAATTAGACGTCTTTATTTAGCTGAAATTAGCCTGTGATTGAGTGGTTTCAGGTTAAAATCCCTATACCATTCCAACAAAATGGGAAGGGTGAAGCACTCACACCTGCCTCCACCCTCATCTACCCCAGTTGATGGCAGCCCTCTGCTCCACACAGAGGGCTGTGGTAGCTCTGTGGTGATCCATGAAGAAAGAAGCAGCCAAAAAACAGTCTAAATGGTTTTATTTATGAGATTAGCTAAAAGAAAAATGAAATACAGTAGTCCCTTATTTATCGCGGGGGATCCGTATCCTGAAGCCCAGCGATAAGTGAAAAACTGCAAATAGTAGCGCAAGTAGTAAGTAGTAGTTTATGTTAGTATGTACGCAACATTCTAAACAATGTTTCTAAACTCTAAACACTCTAAAAAAAAGAACAGCATGTCATGATTTCAGCTCCCTGCCTCCTCTCAGCCACTTGCAAGCGCTCTTGGCCACGCCCACTTCTCCTCTCTGCATGCAAATCAGCTGATCAGCTGCAGGAGGCAGTTTTTCATGCAGTAAGGGCTGCACAGAGGTGCAGCAGGGGCTAAATTATTAAAAATAATTTATTTTAAATAAAAATTTCATGCCGCTCGTGCAGCTCATCCATCAATCAGCCAATTGCGTGTCATGTCCAAGCTTATTTTGAAAAAAAAAAAAAAACGTGATAAACGAGGGACTACTGTAATCTACGTATGCTGGTAAAAATACTAAAGATCTGTTCTTTTTTCTGCTTATTGTTAATGTTTACTTCTCATGCTGTTTAATTTATGCTTTTTTCGTGTAATAATTTATTAGCATTTTAGCAGTAGCCAGATAAGTGTTATTTATTTATTTATTTATTTATTTATTGCACATCTCATACTTATGGGTCTTTTGCTTAGACATTCTTTATCTTTCGCATCTCAAGGCGTGATTAACCTCAGTGGAATTTGATTTGATTTATCAGTGTTATTTAACCCTCCGAGTAAAAACGAGTCATTTCGATCTAAGGGCAGCAGGAGGGTCAACGAGCAGGCTGATCAGGCGTCTGAGTGACGCTGGATCAAAAAGTGTTAGTTTAACGTCGAGGTTCATTTTATCGCTCAAGGCAAAGTCAGATTCAAACTCTGGCCCACTGACAAGACTGCTGGGCTTATCGGTCAAACTCTCTCACAACCCCCCCCCCCCCCACACACACACACACACACACACACATATACACACAGCAGCAGCAAAAACACATTTTGGCATTTTACGAAAGAAAATAGTTTTGTGTTATTACCATACATTCAATCAAAATAATGACAGTTGCCAAAACAGATGGTCACCCTCAACAACACGGAGTGTGCACACACAGAAACACACACACACACACACACACACACACATACACACCAGCTGTGAATGCTTTGAGCTGAAGCCTCAGTTTTGACATGTGTGTGTTAGGTCAGTGAGAGACGAGGATGTTGTTGCTCTAAGCGTTTCTGCCTCGCTACAAAAAATAATTCATTACACAACGCTTACCCTCACAGCGAGGATAGCCACTCACCTCAGCATGGAAGGTATTTTCTGCTGACCCTGAATCACCCCTAACAGAAAAATAAACTTTGGACACATGCCCATAAAATCACACTTATCGCAACAGTCAGTGCACATTAGTAAACGTGAATAAAAGTATTGCTCTGGGCAAAATCTCACAATCATTACTGGAACCTACAAACAAACCAGACAGTTGCCAAAATCTGAGATCATTTAATGTATTCTTGACATTTAGTTGACTTTGGCTGATCTTTCAGCCATAATTAAGCTAATTCAGCCAACTTCCCAGAGTCATGTTTTTTGTAGGTAGCACCCACGGATGCAGACTGACACAAAGAGGTTGGATAAAAATAAAACTCGGCTTTTTTAAACTGATGATTAGTCACAAGGAGGTGCAAGGAGCACATGGCATGAAAGCTGTGACAAGCCCATGTGTCATTTATGTGCATGAGTGCCTAATTAATTCATTTACTCTCTCTAGACAGCTGATTGGTTGAAAAAAGCTTAAAAGGGTCAAGCTTCGCATGATGGACAAGCGAGGGAGGTCAGAGGAGAGATGTTGGTCTGCTGGTTGTTGGTTTTAATCTCCAGCCTCACAAGTGGTTGCACATTGTTACTAATGATATTGAGCTGATTGTTGTTGCGACTGGGAGTTATCAGCAGTCATTGTGCTTTCAGTTTTTGGTTGTATGGTTAGTCCTCGGACCTTAGGGTGAGGGGAGCAGCCTGAATCCGACAGTCAACTGCTGACTGGTTTGGGGTTTGCTAGTTTGTTCAGGTGATTGATGATTAAAGTCTTGTCTAAATTACAATCAACTGGGCTTCATATGTTGTGTGTCCTGTCATTTACTCCTGGACAATCTCAGGACCATAACATATTTGGGGGCTCGTCCGGGATTTTAACCCGGGACTTCTTCTCCCTCGCTCGTCCAGCAGGTGGAACTTAACCCTTTTAAGCTGCTTTCAGCAAATCAGCTGTCTACAGAGAGCCAATGAATTAATTAGACACTCATTCACATAAATGACACAGGGACATATCACAAAAGCACAACAATGGTGGTGATAGAATGGACACAGAGGGAATAAATGGACTGAGGCTGAAGATGGGCAACAGCTGAGCTGAATGAAACAGTGTGGCTGTGAGTGGATGGGGCAGGACTGAAGAGTGATGGAAACAAACTGGGCACAAAGAAAACACAGAAATAAAAAATGAACATTATAACAAACCTCAAAATAGAAAAGTGAATGCTGAAAAAACATCATGACACTCAGAAGCATTATAATAAAACAAACACTTTAAAAACCGCTTGGATCAAAGTCTGTCAGAATCAGCTAGACTCAAACTTCACTGAATCGTTATCTCCATAACCTACAGCTTGAAAAGTGAGTTCAACCACTGCGCAGCACTGAACATGGCATCGTAAGAAGTCAAAGAGTTCAAACTCATCATAAAACAGATGAACAAAGGGTCTTGTGTTGTTGAGAACTGCAGCAATGAGATCTCATTCATGGTAGCTGCAATTTTGACACATGTAACAAGCAGTACACTGATGTCCCCCATCGTTTAGAGATTTGAATAGTGAATGTTTGTAGTTATCAAGATGGCTGTTTTTTTGGACAAGAATTGAACAGGGATTGAAGTCCAAAATGAAAAAGTAATCATAACCACAGACACATGGTCTGATGTTGCCATGGAAACATGTAAACAAAAACTTATCGTCATTAAAGATGTTTAATGTGCTCACTTTGCAGGTGAATAATTCTCGTGGCTCAATGAGACTACATGTATAAATAAAGGGTAAATGAAAAAAAAGGAAATGAAATTGTGCTACAAAAAACTAATAAGGATCCACACCCTTTCAAAGTTCAGGTGCACTCCCGTCTTCTCGTGGATCAATGGGCCAAACCATTGATACTGATGTGGCGGGATGAGAAGGGCATAAATGCATCATTTTACCTATATAAATAGTAGATGTGCTTTATTTTCTTCATATTGCTTAACATTCTTGTTATTTTAAATGATTTTTTTTGGTGGTGAGGTCAATCTTTGCTGTTCCAAAATTGGGGAAAAAAATGTCTGAAAAGCCAAAGTTTTAATGAAAGTTTAATAGTTGAAGGGGCTGATAATGGGTCAACATTTAAAAGTTAGGTAGTTTTATAAGAATAGGTAGTGGTGACAGTGTCTGTGTCTGACCCCTCACCCACACACATTCACATCAATAAAACAGGTCCTATTGAAAAGACAGTGATTTTATGCTCTAAGACAAGTGTTTGTGTAGTAAACTGTCAGTGCACTCACACGGCCTATTGAGATCTCTATACACACAACTTACAACTCAGTTACACCCAAATAGACCACTTGAAGTTTCTATTTTTTTCAACACATCACACTTTCTTCAAGTATTAAAGCAAAGTAGACCAAGCCAAGTTGCATGAATTGTAACATGGATAACAAACTTAGTACAAGCGTATCCTATTTCAACACACCAGAGATACACAAGAAATCTGTCAACTTCAGAGTAACTCGTAATAAACTTGATTAACATTAAAAGCCAGTTTATTTTTGTTATCTATGTAATGTTATGCTCTAAAGATAATCACTATTCTATGGTTCCTAGAGTTGCATTCGGGCCCAAATAATCCAACCCGACCTGGCCCCAGCCCGTAGTCATCATTTCTGAACCTAACTCAACAAATCAACAGTAATTACAGGTCTGAACTTGGAAAAAAAAAGAACAACAGTTTTAATTACGCTTTGACTGCTTATATAGTTATTAACGGTCGATGGACGCACACAGCTGAATAAAATTCAATTCAATTCAATTCAAATATACTTTATTAATCCCAGAGGGAAATTATTTGTTGTAGTAACTTGTTATCCTCATTTCATTAAGAGATGTTATAGATACTGATGCTGTAAACAGGAAGGATCTCTTGTAAAGCTCCATCCCACAGTGGATCCTAAGAAACTGGCTGCAGATGCCGTCCGATCTGTCCACCCAGACTCGACTGGCCTCTTAGTTCCCCCGGGCTGTAGGACCGCCCGAATGCCGGGCAGAACTCCTCCCTGAGAGATGGTCACTCCTCCCAGCAGTCTGCCGAGCTCCTCGTCGCTGCAGACAGCCAACTGTAGGTGCCGAGGGATGATCCTGTCCTTCCGCTGTAATGAGCTATGTTTCCTGCTAGTTCCAGGATCTCAGTAGTCAGGCACTCGAGAACAGCTGGCAGGTAGATGAGAAAGCGTCCACAGAACATCCTTTTCAACTCATTTGAGATTTGGGGCTGTAGTTGAGATATTATTTGAGCTTTTGAGATGTTAATCAGCTGCTGTTGGTTGTAGAAAACTGCCTTGTTGCCATGGTTACGCATCATAACAAATGTCCAAAACTAAAAAAGCTTCAGTAAAAATCCTTCCAGCTGCACAGCATCTGATACCAGAGGAAACCACCATCCAAAAAAACGCGACCCACGTCCAGAAAAAGAGGAATCACAGTTTCCAAAAGCAAAATCTCAGAATGAAAGTAACAGAGCTGCTCCAACATGCAGCCACCTTGAGCGGCGCAATTCAATATGAATAATATATATAAATAATAATAATAATAATATAATAATAATATATATAAAAGGGGCAGAAACTCAGAGCTGAGGGGGTGTTTGTCCTTTTTTGGCCATCAAAGCGCCTGCATTCTGCATTATTCAGACACGGACCCTGCTTTGACATGTCTGCGAGGACATTTTGGGATCGCACCTGTGTGGATCATCGGCCGCGTGCGTCCGCTGAGTGCAGTGGCTGAACGTCCATTTGTGATAATGGATCGCTGCCTGGCAGTACAGTCCCATCTGAAGCTTCACTTAACTTTTTTCTTAACCTCTTTCAAGGCCGGTCAGTAGCTGTTAAATGGCCGTGTGTGGCTGGTGATTGTATGGCAAGTCATGTTGCCATATAATTGGGTCGTCAGCCACGCGTGTCTGCCGACGCAATCAAAAGCCCAACACTGGCCCAGCCTGTACATTAAGCACATTATTATGGTCCGAACTGGCTCGGGTCGGGCCGGGCTCGGGGTTCGTGTTAGAAATGACAGCTCTAATGGTTCCTATAAACCAAAGTAAATCTGTTATTTAAACCTTACATAAAAAAAGAAGAAAACTTAAAAGTAATGTCTGAATGAAAACAACAAAAATAACTTTCTTAAGACGTCAAAATCTAATCCCAGGCTTTTAATTGTTTTCATCCTTAAACCTTCCATTTTATCAGGATCTTCTTGTTCAGTAAACATTCAAGCATGTTGTTTAGTAGCTTTGCTGAACACCTTATGTCCTGTAGAAAAAAGCATTAAACATCCAGAAAACAGATCATAATTGAGTGTCCCAGTAAGTATAAAAGTGAATAAGTGCTTGTGTCCAGTACAGAGTTAGGGAGGGAACAGCTTAACTGCTTTCACCTTCTCTCCATATGTGTCAGTGAGTCTTCCTCTTCCAAATGACAGGCATTAAACTAAATGTCTCCCTTGCTCATGTCTACTTCCTTCACACGTTACAGCTGTCGAAACACTCAAACACATACACACGTGTGTGCAGCGTGACAGAGCTGTTAATTGATGGCAGACGTAGTTCATTTAGAGCAACTGGGCCCAGCCGTCTCACATAGATCCCCTGTCAAGTCTTCAATACACAGATCTCATTTTCTCTCACGCATGTATGAATTTTCCCTGAAAGCACACAAACACACAGCAGGAAACTGAATCCAAGAGGGTCCAATTTGGGGTCAGGGGTAGACCGCCTGCAGTTTTAGCAATTTTCATTACATATCAACTTGAGACCCTGGGGTACAGCTGCAGCATTATGTATGCACCGATACATGATTGCATGAAGAAACTTGTAACCTCCTAATGGATCCTGCAGAGCTTGAAGATGCTGAGAATGAAGTTTGAAGGACTGTGAAGGGTTGCTAATTTGCTTTGTCTGAGGCCACGCCAGATAAAATGTGTCAGCCTTTGCTCCTTCTTCTTTCCTTTTTAATGGCACTATACAACAACACACATCAACAGCACATCTAGGGGCGGGGGTGTATGTGTCGGGGTCTTATTATTATTATTATTTTATTTTTTTTTCTTCCTACCCCCCTAGTTCCCTGACTGCCATTCCGGGGGTGGGGTCCAGGAGAAGGGCAGGCCATCGGGTGTTGACCAGGACTATGTGGGGGTTCAGGGTCTAGGGGGTTGCCGTGGGCGGTGCTGGCGCTGTGCTCTTCCTGGGGTTGTTTGGACCCCCTGAGCTTGGCTCTTGGGTGCCATGGTTGGCCCGCTGGCCGGGGTGGCTGACGGGGCCTGGCGGGCGGTCGGCTGGGGGCGCGTGCTTGGTTGTTGGCGGTGTGTGGGGGTGGTCGGTGGCGCGTCCTCTTCATGGTGGGGGGTGTCCTGTCGGCGGGGCATGGCCTGGGCCGGGTCTGGGGTATTGGCTCTTCTCCGCTCGAGAATGAATGGGTTTACCTCCTGGGTTTGGGCATGGGCTGCCCCCTGTAGAGGGCGGGTACATGTCTTGGACCTGGGGGGTATAGAGTGCGTATCGGGAATAAGAATGAAATGTATCGTTATTGTATGTCTTTGAGTGAGTGAATGTGAGACTGAGGTTGGGATTGTGTGATTGTGTCTGTGTATGAATGGGTATTTGTTAGGTCGAGACTCGGACTGCCCCCTCTTTGATAAAACTGGGGGTGCTTGGCATTGCGCCCCTATCGCGCGGCCCCCTGGTGGGGTGTGCCCTTGCCTGCCGGCGTGCTTGGGGCTCTTGGTGTCGGGGGCTGGGCGCTTGGGCGTGTGTCGGCTCGGCCTGGTGTCTGCCTGGTGGGGCTCGGGTCCTCTGGCCCTGTCGGGCCTTGGCCTGGGTGGTGTGAGTCCTCGGTGCCCGGGCCTCGGTGCCCGGACCTGGACCTACATCGGTGCGGCGGGTTCCGACGGAGGCCTATGAGTTTGTCGCTGTTGGCCCCGGGGGGTCACTGTATGTGGTCGCTGGTGGGGATCTTCCGGTTCTCCCCTGTGGTCAGTTCTGGGGGGTGGGTGAGTGGTTCGTCCTGTGTGGGTGGCTCTGGGGGCTCCGCGGTCGGGGTCCCTCCTGGGGTCTTGGGCTCTGGTCCCCCCCTTTTTCGTCTGCCTCTGGTCTTGGGGGTCGGGTCTCTGCTGCTTCACAGTTACTATTAAATGTTCTATTAGAGAAGCCTTATACACTTATGCATGCTCACAACCACACACAAATAGAAGCAGGGATGCTTATGTAGGCTTTATATGTAGATATATAGATATGTATGTGAGTGTATATTCATGTGTATGTATGTATGGATGTACATATATAGGCGTAGGTATGGGTATATATATTTATGGAAACTTACTGCAAACCATGAATATTTTAAGTTCTTTATACATATGTATTTTGTTGCTGTGTTTTGTCATGTTCTTTGCAGGTGAACAGACAGTGGCCGGGTGTTTTGACGTGTGCTCTCTTTGTGTATATTTCTTATATTTTGGAGTCTTACTTTGTCTTTTCTTTCTTTCTATCCTATTTAAAAAAAAAATTAAAAAAAAAACCCTACACTAGATAGTCACTAGAATAAATATTTCATAATAATGGTGTGGAGAGGATGGCTGTAAGGGGAGAAGGGAGGCCATCAAGAAGGAAAAAAAATAAAATAAAAAAATAAAGAAATAGTTATAAAAACTTTATATTGACTGGTTATGAAAATTCAGTATATACTGTAGTTGGATATTCAATTCAATTCAGTTTATTTATATAGCACCAAATCACAACAGAAGTTGTCTCAGGGCACTGTACAGAAACATTCATATATATAAAATGTCAGTTAATCTTCTTTCTTCTTTTTTCAGCTTCCCCCTCTTGAAGCTATCTGTCACTCCTACAGCACATCTCACCACAGTCCTGCTGTCCTCACTCATGTCCTGTATGACATGTCCTTTACATCTACAAGTCTACCAATAAACATAAACCCAGGGAAATACAGAAGTAACTAATGGAAAGAGTTGGAACAAACAAACAAACAAATTGACATAAAAAAAATCAGTTAATAAAGTTATTTATCTAAGGAGCCGTAAACTGTATGTGGGATAATCATGTTAAGCAATCCATTTAACATAATTAACATTAAATTATTATACAGCGTAATCCTTTGAAACCGTGTCTGTGTCTTTAAGAAAAAAGAGTGGCTGTGGAAGATTCACATCGAAGACCTCACCTTCAGACAAGAGAAGGATCTGCAAGACAGACTGGCAAGACTTCAGAGATTCAGGGTGAGAATGACAAGCATGCAGACATACACACATGCATGTGCGCACACACGCACCCCCCCCCCCACACACACAAGTTTGAATACCTTTTCTTTGTAGGACATTGTATTGACTTTCATTTATTCCACAGCCTATCCCATTAAACATGTCTGTACCTTAATCTAACCCTAACCATGCCCCAGTAAGTTTAAAATCCAGAAAAAGTTTCTTAACTTCTACAAGTCGACCAATAAACATAAACCCAAGGAAATACAGAAGGAACCAATGGAAAGAGTTGGAACAAACAACCATAGAAGAAGTAGTCTGCGGCGAAAAGAATGATGTTCCCTGAACTGGCCAAGAATGGAAAGATCAAAACCAACTTGGTAAAATGAGGGGAATGCATCCTGTGAATGCACTCACTAAATCCAGAACAGTGTTTAACTTCCTGCACTTTAAGTCCAGTTCATAGAACATTTGCAGATGAAGATGATATTGTGTGCAATCACATCCATCCATCTATTTTCTTTACCCTCTTCTTCCTTTTTGGGTCACGGGGGCCACTGGTGCCCATATCCAGCAGTCACTGTACGAGAGGCAGAGGGGACACCCTGGACAGGTCTCCAGTCCATCACAGAGACACAGAGACAAACAACCATTCACTCTCTTATTCACACCTAGAGACAACTTAGTCACCAATCAGCCTAACATGCATGTTTTTGGTCTGTGGTAGGGAACCCACGCAGCACGGAGAGAACATTTAAACTCCACCCTAGTTGTCTACATTCGCCTTAGAATCTAGCTGTTTTTTTGTTACCTTTTTCTTTTAGCCATCCTATTTGTAAAAAAATAAAAATAAAAAATAAAAAACTGCAGTATGACTTTTTATGATTGTTTATTGTTGTTGCTGCATTGTTGTCATCTTTCTTTGTTGAAATCAGGTCTCTCTTGAAAATGAGTCCTCGAGGCTCAATGGGATTACCTGTCTAAATAAAGGTTGAATGAATGAATGAATTTAAACTCCACCCAGAATGGTCCCCGGCCGAGATTTGAACTGGGGTGACCTTCTCACTGAGGGTGCATTCACACCAGCCTCGTTTAGTCCGCTTTAATCGAACTCTAGATTGTTTTCCTAGAAAGTCCGGTTTGTTTAGGGAGGTGTGAACACGCAATCGAACTCTGTCACGGAACAAAGAGGCGAACTCTGGCCCGGGCTAAAACCTAGGTCTCGGCTCGGTAGAAGCAAACTCCAGTGCGGTTCGAGTGCAGTGTGAATGTAAACAGACCGGGCCCCGCTCCGCAGGGTAAACAAACACGTATTTCTCTTACCTTTATATGGAGCCGTCAGCTGCCTTGTGTGGAAAAACAATATTCTCCAGGGTCTTCTGTCTCATCTTCTGCTCATGCTAAGTCCATTTTTGAAAAATGACAAAATATAACTCCTAAAACTGCTAAAACTTGATGCCACTTTGTTTTTATTTTTATTTACAGAAGAAGAAGACGTGTCTTCCGAGGTTTTTGTGTCGTTTCTTTTAGTAGTTCTTGGTGCAGCGCCCCCACAGGCGAGCGGGGGAATAGATTGGTTCAACAGGTTGGCTCGACTGCACAGTGCAGTGTGAATGCAAACGCACCAGCTCAAATGTAAACAAAAGCTCATGAATATTGGTCCCGAACCGAACCGAGTCTAAAGGACTATCTAGTGTGAAAACGACCTGAGAGACAGCAGCTTTACCAAGTGCACCACAGTGCCGCCCTCAGTCACAACCAACATTGCAGAACTTTACACAATCTGTTAGCACTTGGAACTAGAGATGACTGTCAGCTACTATCACACCAGCTTTTAGCTCAATATCTGAAACTGGCTGAGTTCTAACCATTTTGTGCTTGATAAAGACTTTTTGTGACAGCACCTTGAAATGGGTTGGTTTGAAAAATCTGTCAGTTTTAAATGTACATCCAATGATTGCTTTCTATGAATTTTATTAAAGTACATTAGTGGTTCATGAGATATTTTTGCTAAAAAACAGACCCACGCTCCTGCAGATAAAAGGCAACAAAAAGTGTGAATCTTCACTTTTTGAAATTTGGAGTAAAATTATGACAACTTTGAACAAAGGAATAAATGTTTGACTTTTTCTTGTAAACTAAACAAATTGAAACATGTTAATTTAAATGAGATTTAAAAATTGTGTTTTTATTTGTGGAATGGGGAGTTACAAAAACCTACTTAATTAAGTCAAAACCTGGAAGAAGAGTTCTTTTATGAAGATGAGAAAGGAAAAGGAAACACCTTCAAACAAGACAGTTTTAAGTAGTTTTTTGTGTTTGCCAACTTTTCTTTAACATGTCAGATGTAACATGATTGAAACAGGAGAACGGTGATCCAAGGCTAAAAAGAATGTTGAACAAGCCCACAGAGTGGGAGTCCCAGTGACCCTTTGGTCCCTCTATTTCCTGCTCCTTTCCTCCACATAATCTGAATCTGAGCTAACTCCTGATGTCAAATCAAACATACAGATCGTCACGCCTGTCCCGATAAAGCTTCACTGTGGTGTGAACCTTTGAGCAGCCGCAAAACTACCAATGGTTCAAAGCTTCTGCAGCACAAACAAGCCGAACATAATCTGACACTGGAGGGTCGCCTTAATAAAGTGGGCACTAAAATGCTCAAAACTTGTTTTTTTTTTTCTTGTTTAGGAGTTCCAGAGGAAAGTATTAGAAGAAGAGGAAGGCACGGAAGGTGAGGCTGCCAGCCAACTCCTCACAAGGATGTAGATGCTCCGCAGGACACTAGGATCGGATTGTGGATGGTTGTTTAGTGGTCTACTAACATGAGCTATAGGTATGCAAGCAGAAACATAAATAGTGCTGTGACGATACATTTTATAGTTAGTTGCAGAATATGAACCAACCTGGAACCAGCATGATGGAGGTGATGTAACGGTACTCTGCAAATGCTGACCTGTTATAAGGCCCCCCGTCACCATGAACAACACTTCTACACTCTCTACAACCCACGGGACATGCCAGAACATGGATGGATTGCAGTGAATTTGAAAATCATCCTTTAGCGTTAAGACATATTTGCCAAATACATTTTTCTCTGCAGTTCTCTGTGTCCCCAAGAAGCTCTCTTGTGTCCTCTCCACACTCTATACCAGATGTTTAGTCTACGACGTGATACGATGGTATACGCTGTATACCCACTAGAATAGCTTGGGAATTTCTGTATAGCCACTTAAAAGTGCCCATGATATGTGACATATCATTGCACGTGTCATTATATTGAAACGTCAGGGCGAAATTCGTCATAAGTGCCCTCAGAGAACAGCAGTGTCCCTTTTCTTTCTTTTTTTTTTGGGGGGGGGGGGGGGGGGGGTATTTGTATTCTGCCAGGCGCCTGTGCCACCGCGAGCCACTCCGCCTCCAGCTATGTGAAGCTAGCGGGAGTGACGCAGAGCATCGCCGGAACAAGGGCAAGGGGGTTTTCAGAATAAAAGTTTAGACCTAATATTTATATTTTGATGTTTCAAAAGTATTAGTAAAGTTTGAAGCCACCAGCTAGAAGTTTTGAGAGCAATAAACAGCAAAACCCTTATTAAACAACAATTCTTGGTCACATTGCTTTACATTATTTTTCAGACAACACAAATTGTAAAAAAAAAACAAAAAAAACTCTTAATTAACATTCATATTTACATGAGCCACTTAAAACCTTAAGAACTTTCATATTTTGTCCAATTTACTTTGAGCTAAAAAAAACAACTTATAATAATAAATATGATAATATGTGTGTGTATATGTATGCAACATACTGTATACTGTATGCATCCATCCATTATCTTTCCCTTCATAGGGAGGTGCTTTGGGGAAATCAAAATAAATTGACAATTACATTGTACTAACCGGTGTACTTTGGTTTCCAAGCACAGTATACACACTACAAGAATGTAGACTACACCACTGCTCTATATCCCCACCCTGACACAACTTTTTCAAACCTCGTCAGGATGCAGCTTTGTGCCAGAAGGTTGCACCACTCCACAACAACACCACTGCCATGGGTATCACATCTGGCATGGGTTGTTTCCATAACTGTGTCATGACCACAGCCTTTGCCATAGGCCGTCATGGCCAGTCCTGCTTGATATTCTAATAAGTAATCCATGCTGGTGGGGGCAAGTCTCACATCGTTTGCCATCATCACTACGTTAGACCACGACTTTGTTACAGATGTTTTGTGCATGCTCAAAACCCTGCATGACCGATCCCACTGCTGGAAAACAGAAAGAGCTGATACACATTTAAAGACCTTGTCAAGACCCTGCAAAGACCATCCATGTTCTGTCTGACTGGTTACAATGTAGAGGTGTTCACTTTAAAGGCGCCCTAAGGAGCTCTTACAAAATAACAAGGTTGCGTTAAAAACTTTACAACACATTGGAGAAAAATCAAGTGACGCACAAGCAGGGTATGTCCTACAGCTGTTGAAAAAATGCTGGTGGTAAAGTTTCAGATCAACCATTTCAAATTGTTGTCAGAACAAATTCATTTAGAAGATGCTGCAAAGTGCTATAATGCTAAACTACTAAAGATACAGTGGAGACTTCTCTTGTTAAGCCAAATATAAATGTCATCACCTTTGAGTTAGAAATAAAGGATTATCCAACATGTCTGTTTCTTCTGTTTGAGCAGATGGAGGTCTGTAAACTATTCTTAAAACCATAAGAATTTAAACTGGGAGTCAATGATGAAAAATGGGTTCTGGTGGATTTTATTTACCCAGCAGCAGCCGACCTTCTGTCTTCAAACAGGCAAAGCCTATTTACTTTTTAACAGGTTCTCTTAACATAGTCCAAGTTCTTGTTTGGCAGGCTGGGTGTGTTCTGGGTATTTTACTTCACATTAAAACTAAACACTCAATGATTACCAGCTGAGATGTTCACGGCACGGTTTTACATGGTTTGGACAGTCTCACAGTCTGGATCTCTTTTCAATGGAGATGCAACAGTTCGTGTATTTTTATCTCTAAATTGTACACAGTTAACACAGCATTGTACACAGACACTAAGCACAGAGACAAAATAAGACTTCAAGCAGGTGTCCATACACATTGCGGCGTTTTGTTTGGGAAGGTTTGATCTGTTAGCTAGCTGAATATACAGCTTTTATTACAATAAATGCATTTTTTTTTTATTCCAGTTATTTGATACATCTTGAACTGCACACCTACATCACTGAGAAATAACAGAAGAAGGAAGAGTTTGAATGAATTGAGTCTTGTACTACCATTGCAGGGGAGTGGTGGCGCAGAGGTTAGAGAAGGTGGATCTGTGATCGGAAGGTCGCCGGTTCGACTCACTGGACCGACAAACTCAAAATGCGGGTGGAAAAGGTGAAGCACCCACACCTGCCTCCACTCTCATTTGGCCCACTCTGGGCCCTTGAGCAAGGCCCTTAACCCCCACCATCTGCTCCCCCTGGCGCCCTAGACAGCAGCTCTCTGCTCCACACAGAGGGCGCTCGGTGGTCTGTGGTTGTGTCAGGGAGAACATCTGGCAGAAAAAACAATTCACTTCACTTTATTAGGTCCCCGAAATGCAAATTCATTTACAGTAAGTAGTGGTGATGACAGCCAGCACTTTCATACAAACTTTAAACATGACGACATTGATCAAAACAGGGTAAAATATACATTCAAAACAAGATTACAATACATAAAAATATTACTAAAAAGAAGAAAAAATAAAGAGTTGGACTGTGATAACTCAGTAGCATCCTAGGATAAGGCCTTAAATCTATATTTTGTTAAAAAAAAAAAAACAATGACTATGGGGATGAAAGAGTTCTTTAATCTGTTCGTTCTACACCTTGGTAGGCCATATCTTCTGCCTCAGGCAGAAGATTGAACTGAGTGTGTAGAGGATAAGTGGAATCCGCCCCCAATTTTTTTGTCTTTTGAGATTGATCTGGACTTAAATAGGTCGGTGATGTCATTCAGTTGAATCCCTATAATTTTTCCGCATTCTATGAGAACACCCTGTAAGCGATTATGGTTGTTTTTTTTTAAGTTCAGCACTCCAAACCAGCAGAGAAAGAAAAAAAGTGAGGACAGATTAAAAAAAAAAAAAAAAACAGCTGTAAAACATTTTCATAAAAATGCAATCAACATTTAAGCTCCTCAACTTCCGGAGGAAATGCATCCTCTGGTGCAATTTCCGACAGATTCCATCAGCCTGGGACTCAAATGTCAATTTTTCGTCCATCATTATGCCCAGGTACTTGTATTCTTGCACCTCTTCCACCACCTGACCCTTAACGGTAACAGGAGGGAGAGGGGCGGAAGCCTTCCTATAATCTATTCTCATCACGTTTGTTTTTGATGCATTAATGTGCAGGAAAGACGACTGGCACCAAAAAAGTCCTGCAGGACATTATCATGGCATGTCGGAACATCGCCATTAACCAGAGACATGATAACCGAGTCGTCAGCAAACTTTATAAATGTGATGATTGCCAAGTGTTTGTGAGAGTTCGCCATGGCAACCCTTGAGGAAGGAAGCAGAAAAAGAATAAAAAGAAAAAAATTAAAACGCCCTTGTATTGAGACTATGTAATGAAAATACACATAAATTAATATTGCGCTGATACTAATAGTTTTGATAATTTCATACATGATTGTGTGGAAAGTTTATCGGGTCATTTAAAGAGCTATCTACTACAAGTACAGTACAATATTAATTGTTGTTAAACTTTCCACAAAACTCCACTCCACTTTTTTTTTTCCTCACTAGCTCTCTAACGAGGCGAACGCGTTCCTTCCCACTCCCTGTTCTCCTGCTTTTTGCTCTGTCTGTGTATCAGAGCAGCTCCTATTTTTTTACACATCTCCCGAAATGGAAACTACTGTTTTGGATCTGACCAACTGGACTTTCGATGTATATTACAAATTCTTTTCAACAAAGCGACAGGGTCCTGGAGAACCCTCATCTGCTCGAACGATACGCATGCAGCTGGATATATCTCTGGGGGGATGTGTCTACCTCTGCTATCGACTGAGGATGCTGAAATTGCCGATGATTGGATTTACGATAACAAGTTTCCTGTTTTTGGAATAGTCTGGATCCTGGTTTATCAACATACAAAGAAGACGGTCGCAGCTAATTTAGCCCTCGTCAGGCTGTTGTCTATGTGAAGGTCTGGTTCGTGCTGGAAGACTCAAAATCAGCTGAGTTACGAGTGAAACCGTTAAGTTGGAAGTGATTTGAATCGCATACCACGTGCGGCTTTGGGACTCGTCAGCATGAAATACCATCTTGAAGAGGCTCGTAAGCACGGACCAGTGGGATGCACCCTAATCTGGACATTTCGGACCTTGGAAAGTTACCAGTTCAGACTCAAGGCTGATGGAAAATAGTCTGCCTCAATAAATAAATAACAACTGTGGTTATCTGAATCTCTCCCCAGTTGGCCTCGGAACAGGCCGACTTATCAATTTCTCATGGGAAATGTGTAAATTAAGGAAAAGCTTCATCTATCGCAACTCCCTCTCCCCCCTTCTGTGGGTGGAGTCTCATTAGAACTGTGCCTGCTGACCATCATCTTATCAGGACAATGGACTATATGTTAGTGCTTCATGGACCGTCTTGTTGTAAATGCATATGTAACGTGTTCATAAATGTGCTTTAGCTGGCAGAGTTTTTTGATGCCTTACATCTTGTCCTGTTAGGACAAGGTGTGAAGAGATCTTTTTTGTAATGCCACTATCCTCTCCTCATGGCTTTGTCCCTTTTTCTATCAATTTTTTTTAAAATTCTGAGTAAGAATAAGAAGGTCGCGCTTTATAGCAGCAGCTTCGTGCACTCCCTCCATTTTTTGGACGGCTGTACGTACATGTTCTCGTTGTATCTCGGTCCAATGATAATAAAGCTTATTCTGATTCAAAATGTTTGAACTACACCTTTAGTCCTTTTTTTTTCATCTGGTATTTCTGAAATCTACACAAGACAGATGTGTTTAATCACTCTGACCCTTCTGCCTCTCAGCAGGACATGCCGGCCACAGTTTACGCTGAAAAATTTAACTTGTACTCAGTTCACTTTCAAGTTTAGATCAACACAACATCAATGGGGGCATGGTTCTTAACTGTGGTGGTGGGGGGAAAAAAAACCTAC